TTTAATACAATTGGTCTGAAGGTGATCTGGACCAACACCGCTGAGCTGGCGTGCCCTAGACCCACGCTCTGCAACGGGGGACCCACAGCACCAAGAAGCCCTGCCTGCAGCCAAGAGCAGCCTCTGCCCCTCAAACCAGGGACGGGCCCCAGCAGCAGCGGAGGCCCAGCACGGCCAAAAAACAACTAGAAGTATGGGCGGGCAAACTGGCCTGAAGTTTTCAGAGGGAGCCAAGGACACCACTCGCTAGAAGTCGTCTAATGTAGACTCCCCTCTCTTCTCCAGTTAACTGCTACCAGGTCACGCAGATCAAAACACACCATTCCAAAACTATAGAATCTCACAGACAATAGTATGCAATGAAGACCATGATACTGTGTTTTACCAGCAAGATTCAGAGCTAAAGAAATCTCCCTAGAAAGGGAGTTCAACCTTTTGCTGTGTCTAATAACACATGTTTTTCTGACCTCTCATGACACTTCTAAGCACAAGTTCTATTTAGAGAACAAACTAAACCATTTTTAACTTATAAAGACTTATATATTCAGGCCTTTTCCTCAGTTACATAACCACAAAACTAGTAATAATAATTTATTACCAGAAAAAAAGAAAGAGAGAAAAAGTGAGCATCTACATATATTTTTAAAGATCTGTACTATGAAGCAAACTGAATGGAAGGAGAACTGAAGCAGTCTTGTCGCTGCCTGGAGCCATCTGCCAAATACAAAGCTCTGTATCATAAAACAGAATGCTCCTCTTCATACCGGGAGCCTAAATGAAAACCAACCCTATCATTTACATTCTTCTTTTCCCTCTAACCTACCATGTTTTATTAGTTTATTGTGCAGCTATTTTAACTCAGCATTAGACTGTAAGTACCTTGAGGATTAGTCATTTTTCAGTTTCCTGCAGCACCTAACCTAGTGACATAAATTGACAAGGTCAGTGAGACACCAGCCACCCTGAACCAATAAATGAAAACAGATCACAGCTGGTCCACCTGCAAGGAGTGTGTTACGATTTTCTCCTAGAAAACCCTCTTAATATTTTAAGCTTCATGTCTTTAGGTTGACCTACTCCCAACAATGTCGGTAGTAGTTTATTCCTTCCCCTCAAACGAATCAAGCCAAATATACTCTATCCTACATATTCCTGAATATAAATTATGCTTCAATGTAAAATCTTAATTAGTCTCAATTAAAATTTCAATTAAAAAAAATCTTAAAGTAGGTAGATAAAACCTCAATTACTTAGGTTTTGGAAATGGGATAAGTAGAAAAAAGTATTAACCCTTTAAGAGGCAGTAAATAGTACTGTACAATAGAGGGAATAAAATCAGTATTTTCATCATAACTTTGCATAGCAGGTCTATAAAGTAACTGAATCACTGTGCTGTTGTACACCTTGAGCTAATATAATATTGTAAGCCAACCATATTCCAATTTTTAAAAGTTCTGTTTTTCTTGTCTTCCAACGAGTGAGATAATACAAGAACGCTGTTCAAAAAAAAGATCTCATCGACATAACCCACCCTTTTCATAACCCTGTCTGCCCCAGAGACTCAAACCTCCTGGGCTTTTTGCTCGAGTCGGGACCACAGGGTCAGCGGCAACAGGAGCCTGGAGACACAGCTATGGCGCGCGCTCTTGGAAAACAAAGGCAGAGCGCCTTCTGGAAAAGCTCCTCACTTCAGCCCCTTTCGGTCGCTTGCTTTTCTCTCACAGAACAGAAGCAGGACGACTGCCCTTTCCAGCTCCCTCAGCCCCTTACTCCAGAGCATTCCTGGGCCAGAGCCGTGTTTAATACGGCCCGCCCTCCTCCCAAGACCTGCAGACTGTCTATGTCCCCCGGAGACAGCCCTGACTCTTCAAAACAAAGCTGGCTCTGGACAGGCCTATGCATTCAGACAAGGGCGTCTCAGCCTGCACGCCTTCAGCTCTCACTTGCAGGCTCGGCCCCCTCTGCTCCCCTCAGTAGCAGTGTCCTTCTTCAGAGGCTCAATTCGGGTCCTCAGTTTTTCACACTGTGTGACTAAAAATATTCTGGCTCACACAGTCACCCCTGTTCCAACAGACACAGTCCATTTGGGACTGCAGAGCCGAGACAACACGGGAAGACCTGCGGAGGGCCACGAGGCAACAGTCCACACAGCAGTTCCTGAGCCCAGGGGTCAGCAGAATGGCCTGTGGAGCAACCTAGTTAAAGCTGCCACTCGAAGCTCCTCATGTGAACACAGCGTCTCCCGGACCACATTACGAGCATCCTCAGACACACGCTGTCAGATGCGCCTGGCACCGGGGAGACTCAGGACTGCTTACTGACACCTCAGAGAATGCAACACATATACAAGAGTCCCTTTAGAGTCAAACCCTCAGAAATTAGCAAGAGCGATCACTACCTACTGGAGAGCTCCAGGTCCATTTGCCTCCTCGATGAGCCATGACCATACAAGACGCAGAGTCACAGGTTCATCTCACTCAGAGACTCCTGAAACCCAAATGCATCTACCTATTTTTTTCCTATCAATTCAGTGTAGATCCCCCAAGAGAACAAGTAGACTCCCATGACAGAACCTCATGCAGATTTTGCCTAGCGAGCCTCAGGAAAGGAAACACAAGGTTACAACACAACACAGAATTCTCCACAGGGGAAGAAACCAAACCCTATGTTCATAACAACAAGAAACAAGACTACAGCTACTGATAGGCTGTGCATCATCTTTTCATATGAAGGCAAAAGCAAGAACAATTCTTTAAATGATCTTGAAATGCTGTACTCTTTGTCAGGGCAATGACACAGCACCAGCCATTACAAAGGAACAATCCCATTTTCTCACAATTTCATTATATCTCAGTAACTATTCCAGTAGGAATTCATTGTAACTTACATTAAGTACAGAGAATAATTTTTTTAGTGAGGAAAACAGGAGGAAAAGAATGAAGTAAATATTCTCTGTTTCAATCTGGGTGATGGTTATGGGGTATATATGTACGTAAAAGTTCACACAGCAGTATGGTTAAGAGTTGTACACATTTATTATCAGAAGTTACATCTGGATAAAAAGATTTCCTTTAAAAAAAGAGGAGGAATAAAAAATGCAAATCCAAGATCAAGGGTAGTATTTAAAACTCCTTAAATTTTCTATCTTTCATTAAACAAATATTTACTGAACATCTTAAAAGGGTGCCTACACTGTTGGTGGGAACATGAACCGGGACAGCCACTATGGAGCAGGATGAAGGTTCCTTAAAAAACTAAAACTAGAGTGACCATGCAGTCCAGCTTCTGGGCACATATCTGCAGAAAACTCTAGTTCAAAAAGACACATGCATCTCAGTGCTCACAGCAGTACTGTTAACAACAATTAAGACATGGAAGGACTTCCCTGGGGGTTCAGCGGGAAAGAACCCGCATGACAATACAGGAGACATGGGTTCCATCCCTGGTCTCAGAAGATTCTCTGGAGAAGGAATGGCAACCCACTCCAATATTCTTGCTGGGAAATCCCATGGACAGAGGAGCCTGGCGAGCTACATCCACGGGGTCACAAAGAATTGGACACAACTTAGTGACTGAACAACAAGCGATGGGAACAACCTAAACATCTGTAATCTGTGAGCAGGGCGAGACCAGTAAGCGAGAAATTAAACACAGTGTGGTGTGATGAGTACGACGGCAGGGTGAGCCCTGGGGGCTTGGGGACCATTATCTATTTCAGTTCAGGAGAGCCAGAGTTCTTCAACTGCTATTTCACCCACAAAATCAAAACAAAAAAACCACACATTCTGAAATATTTTTTAAAGCAAAAAGATCCATCATGATGTCTTTCTCTTAGGGAAGCACAAAACTAAATTTAACTCTTGTCTTTATCATGAGGCACAGTAAAAGTCAGATCCTTCATCTTGTTGCTAAAGTTATGGTCACTCACTAAAATAAACATCCACAGAGACCAACATAATTCAGGCCACCAGGCTATGGAGCATTTCGGTTTAATGCATAAGGGCTCTGAAGCAAACAAGATGTTCCAAAGTAATTTAACATGCAGCTACTTACAGCTTTCTTGAAAGAAAGTTCTGCCCGTGGTAACTCCTCAGAGAAAAGAGTTTCCACTTAATGTTTAACTTCCTCCTTGGATCAAAACAATGTCTTTTAAAACTTAGTAAACAAGTAATTTAGAAAAACTCGGTCCAAAAAGAAAATAGTTCAAATGTGAGGGGAAACTATGGTAAAGATGAGAACTAAAAAAAAAAAAGACAAGTCAAAACTCTAGGAAAATCTCTCTGTCGCCCACAGTCATAAACATGTGGAGACAGAAGGGAGACTCCTGAGATGATTCTGGTAAGCAGGAGTGACCTGCAGGGTTTTGCCCAGATAGCAAACTTCTCATCCTGCTATCACACACACCCCCAAGGCACAGGGCTGTTTATGCACGGCTCACCGTACTTAAGGAATCAAAATTAAGGAAGACTCGCTAAGATATTCCTGCCTCTATCCCCACAAAATGGTGAGGCTGGCAATACCATTTTCTTCATAAACGCAGGACAGATAGATAAGTCACAAGGAGTGGGTAGCCATTCCCTTCTCCAGGGGATCTTCCCAACCCAGGGATCAAAACAGGGTCTCCTGCCTTGCAGGTGGATTCTTTTCTGTCTGAGCCAGCAGGGAAGCCTCAGATAGTCACAAATTCCACTTGAAATGGTCTGAGATCACCTAAGGCAAGATTGGGCTCCCCTGTGGCTCAGATGGTAGAGAAGCTGCCTGCAATGCAGGAGACCCAGGTTCGATCCTTGGGTCAGGAAGATCCCTTGGAGAAGGCAATGGCAACCCACTCCAGTATTCTTGCCTAGAAAATTCCATGGATAGAGGAGCCTGGTGGGCCGCAGTCCATGGGGTCGCAAAGAGTTGGACGTGACTGAGCGACTAAGACAGCTAAGACAAGCCTGTTAACGAAGGGGCATTTCACAAGTCAATGAGCAACCAGAGCAAACCCGTGGCTTTACCTGTCGGCCTTCATCAGGAGGCTGGGCGGCAGCTCCAGGAGCTGGTTGTGCTGCACATCCAAGACCTCCACGGAGGTCCTTTCCAGCCTTTCAGGAAGCCTGGTCAGCTGGTTGTGTCCTGCCAGCAGTTTCCGGAGACTACTGTTACAAAACAGGCTGTGTGAACAGGGGCAAAGAGAGAAGGTAACTTACTGAGAGCTCATTTGGGATGAAGGCTTAAAAATGAATGGGAGGAAGAGAAGACTTAAAATTACCTTGCCAAGAAACCTAAATTCACCAGAGCAACTGCAAATTCATTTTAATATAAGCTCAAAGTTTGAGCTGTTATTTCAAAGCTTTCCATACTTCAAAAAAAAAAAAAAAGAGGGTGGGAAGAACTATGAAAAGGACTATTTAACAGAGCAGCTCTCCTTAGTGTGAAGAAAACACGAGTTTCATGGACGACATGGAAGGTGGCAGCCTCATCGTGTCAGACTCACGGGGCAACAGCGAGGCCGCCAGCTCCCAGGCAAGGCCTATGCCTGGGGTTGCCCAGGACACAGGGCACTCTTCTACACAACAGACTCTGAAGAAACACAGCTGAGCAATTTTCACCTACAGGATCAACATTCAGTGAGGGTTCTTGTGTCCAAATAAACTTTTACCAATGCCCACTGAGAAAATGTTACATTTTCCTCAGCTGCATTTCACAGTAATTATTTGTTCCTTTCCTCACTTCCCTAAATCTGATTGCTTTTATTTTCTCATCGATTTCATCCTGGACCAAAGCAGACTCCCTTCTAAAGAGAACGGAAGGCGCTCACTGCAGCATTTTCCCCTGAGCCTTAAATGAGCTGTTGGGAAGCGTGACTGTTTCTTCTATGGATTATCAAAACTGCAATAAATGATGAGTTTGTGTTCATCAAAGCAAAATCTGCTTTATGATCACTTGAGACAGCAGCAGTTGCAGAGAATAAAGCACATCCTGCGTTAAACACAGAAGCCTGGGGACTGTGGGGAAGCAAGGTTGTGATTCACGTCAGGGTCACTTTGAAACGAGAGCTCACTCACACTGACGTCAAAGAATGAGGCTTCCTCACCCGCCTCCTGTTTTCCACCATCTTGACCTCACTCACTTAAAAGTTCTTAAAGTCACTCTAACTTAGAGCCATAACTTTGTTCACTTTAAGGATGAAAACGAGAAACTTTGGTCACAAAGATGCTACCAACCTGTCTCAACAAGGTGACATCATGGGCCACCATTAGGGATCACCTGCCTCTGCGGGTTTAGAGGCTAGAGGACAAGAAAATGCGTCCAGGATGGTCTTCAGTCAGTCACTGCAGGGCTGGCCTCTGGGACACTCACTCTAAGCTCCTAACTCTGGATTTGGTCCACAGAGGAATGAGATTGTCTGTCTGTCTGTCTCTCTCTCTCACATGCACAGACACACACATACAGACACGCTTTACCCTTAAACAGAAGGATAGCTGAAAGAAGATAACACAATCTTTATCTTCATTTTTCCACATAAGAAAGTAGATTTCATGACTACAGAATGAGTATACATGCTAGTGACAGAATTTGTTCAATTCTTTTGTACATGAAGAATAAATAGCTTCTTTTCCTTTCAATACATCTCTGGTTCTAAATATTATTTTCTGTTTTGTCAAACCCTTTCAAACACATCTCTTAGACAAATAAAGTTTGAATGGTTCAATCAGTTTCTAATGAATCGCTGTCTTGGCCTGGATGTTAGATCAATGACAAGGCTGATACAAAGTTTGCAACTAAACAACACTATTAAATGAGCAAACAATATGTAATGTTATTGTCCCATGTGTTAAAACACACACAAAAACAAATGCTGTTTACATTTTATGACAATAGAGCATCTGGATTTGCTTTGAATAAGCATTCGTTTAGATCCCCCAAATCCTGCACTGTTCAGTTCAGTTGCTCAGTCGTGTCTGACTTTTTGCGACCCCTTGGACTGCAGCAAGCCAGACCTCCCTGTCTATCACAAACTCCCAGAGTTTACTCAAACTCACACCCATCGAGTCGGTGATGCCATCCAGCCATCTCCTTCTCTGTCGTCCCCAAATCCTCCTGCCGCCAATCCCTCCCAGCATCAGGGTCTTTTCCAATGAGTTAGTTCTTCGCATGAGGTGGCCAAAGTACTGGAGTTTCAGCTTCAGCATCAGTCCTTCCAATGAACACCCAGGACTGATCTCCTTTAGGATGGACTGGTTTGACCTCCTTGCAGTCCAAGGGACTCTCAAGAGTCTCCTCCAACACCATAGTTCAAAAGCATCAATTTTTCGGTGCTCAGCTTTCTTCACAGTCCAACTCTCACATCCATACATGACCACTGGAAAAACCATAGCCTTGACCAGACGGAACTCTGTTGGCAAAGCATTTTTAATATGCTGTCTAGGTTGGTCATAACTTTCCTTCCAAGGAGTAAGCATCTTTTAATTTCATGGCTGCAGTCACCATCTGCAGTGATTTTGGATTCCATAAAAATAAAGTCTGACACTGTTTCCACTGTCTCCCCATCTATTTCCCATGAGGTGATGGGACCAGATGCCATGATCTTAGTTTTCTGAATGTTAAGCTTTAAGCCAACTTTTTCACTCTCCTTTTTCACTTTCATCAAGAGGCTTTTTACTTTCTCTTCACTCTCTGCCAGAAGGGTGGTGTCATCTGCATATCTGAGGTTACTGATATTTCTCCCGGCAATCTTGATGCCAGCTTGTGCTTCTTCCAGCCCAGAGTTTCTCATGATGTACTCTGCATATAAGTTAAATAAGTAGAGTGACAATATACAGCCTTGACGTACTCCTTTTCCTATTTGGAACCAGTCTGTTGTTCCATGTCCAGTTCTAACCGTTGCTTCCTGACCTGCATACAGGTTTCTCAAGAGGCAGGTCAGGTGGTCTGGCAGAGCAAATCAAAGATTAATTCACTCAGGCAAACTGGATAATAAATCAGTTATCCTGTATTTATGTAATTGTTGGTTTATTTATATGTTTGTTGCAGCCTGCAGTGACACAGCGGCTTTAAACTCCAATAGGCTACATGTGTTAAATTGGGGAGGTCAGAGTAGCGAAGAGAAAAACAGATGGAAAGATAAACAGGACAGATTTTTTTTTTAACAAATTACTTTTTCTTGTTAGTAGTCACCTTTTACTATTTTTGCTATCTTCTAAAAGGGTCTCTCTCTCTCCACGTCCTACACACACACACACACTGCTGCCCAAAGTCCTTTTGATGATGGTGATGGGCTCTGCAGTGGCTTACCTAGATGCTCACTGAGCATAAGACTCAGCATTTTCAAACGGACTGAACTCACAGGTGTAATATATTCCTGAGAAACAAAGCGAGAGTCACTGAGCTTTCCAGGAACTAAAAACGGAAATTTAGTGTTTAAATTAAATTCTTCTCGCAGTTCTTCTACAAGAAGACAGACATGTTAAGACCAGAGACAGAAAGTAAAGATTCTGAAAGAATTAAGATTACAGAGGTGAACCAGCCATATCATTTGCTGAGTTTCTGGACATTTCTTTTGGCTTATTTGAAAAGTTCCACCAAGCATCAGCCTCCACAAGGCTTTGCCAAGTCTGGCTAGCAGTCAAAGCTTCACTGTACTTGTCAATACATGACGAAATATTATGACTTAACGACACCATGAGAGATAAGAGATAGTAAATAAGGTTTAAAAGCAAACTCTTTCAGGGGTTCATAACAACAAATTAAACACTGAACCAGCAATTTTTTCCATTGTTCATCTTATTTGAGATTCTCTCACTTAATCTGTGCTTAATACTCACCGTGCAGGAAGTTCACATATTTGATTATGGCCAACATCCAAAACTTCTAGCTTTCGGCTTTCACAGACCCACTCAGGCACGTTTTCTAAACAGTTCCTAAATGCAAGAATATACAATTTCTTCTTTGATTGGAATTTGGCTTAAAATATGGTTCAAAAGTCAAAATAACTACATATAACAAATAAAACTTCAGAGTAAATACTCAATTACAGTGAATATAAATAAAAAAGATATGTGTAGTCACTTTAACCTAAAGCAAGATGTGATAAGGAATAAGAAATAAAGAAAAAGTAGAAAAGAACACAGTAACATCATTTGTATTATCTCTAAAGTCTAAAAAATAGTCTGGCTTCCAGAGTTACTATCCTAAAATGTCTATAAACCCATGTAAGTTTAGGGAGAAGATGTCTTCCACTGGAAAACCAATAAACACATATTTACACAGTTACAGTTATGGTAAAGAATCAAATGGCATAAAATAGCTTTGTTTTCCAATCTGCATTTTTACCATTAATATGAAAAATTTCCCCAACTCCAGAAGGTACCCTGAGACCACTGCCAGAGACAAGAGGAAAGAAATGGTGGCAATGAAAATATACACTGACCCTAAGACTCAGAATCAATGATTTGAAAATATTTACTTATGCATTTGACAGTAATTATAATTACTGGAAACAAGTAAACTAAGCTAATGGTAACTATAATTGTTAAATGAATTGACCACTTTTTTGATAAATCTATTACTGTATTTGAATGTCTCCTTAGTCATGGATGGTTAGCTTTTTATCTTCTTTTTAAAATATGTGAAATGACTAGGCTCAAAAAAAATCGAAAACAGTATGTATGTTATGGTTACAATTCTTTAAAAACAGATGAACAAGTCTGTGAAAAGTATGAGGCTTGGAACAAGGATTATAGTAGAATAAAATTTTTTTCTATTTTATCTTCTCAATTAAAATATAGAAAAGAAGGCATTATTTTCCGTTTAGTGTCTGTATACGTACACACTGCTCAGGCTTTGAGGTCTACCGACTGATACACTTAATTATTTTATTGCACAGCAGCCAAGGAGGGCATGGAGACCCGCTCCAGGGTTCCTGCCTGGAGAGTGCCACGGAGAGAGGAGCCGGCAGGCTACAGCCCATTGGGCTGCAAAGAGTCGGACACGACTGAGTGACCAAGCGCGCGCAGGCACGCACACGCACACATACACACACAGAGTCAGACATGACTGAGTGACTGAGTGCACACTCTCACACACACAGAGTCGGATGTGACTAAGTGCACACTCACACACACACACACAGAGTCAGACATGACTGAGTGACTGAGTGCACTCTCTCACACACACAGAGTCGGACATGACTGAGTGACTGAGTGCACACTCTCAGACACACAGAGTCAGACATGACTGAGTGACTAAGTGCACACTCTCACACACACACAGAGTCGGACATGACTGAGTGACTAAGTGCACACTCTCACACACACACAGAGTCAGACATGACTGAGTGACTGAGTGCACACTCACACACACACACAGAGTCAGACATGTCTGAGTGACTAAGTGCACACTCTCACACACACAGTCGGATGTGACTAAGTGCACACTCACACACACAGAGTCGAATGTGACTAAGTGCACACTCTCGCACACACAGAGTCAGACGTGACTGACTAAGGGCACACTCTCACACACACACAGAGTCGGACATGACTGAGTGACTGAGTGCACACTCTCACACACACAGAGTCGGACATGTCTGAGTGACTAAGTGCACACTCTCACACACACAGAGTCGGACATGACTGAGTGACTAAGTGCACACTCTCACACACACACAGAGTCGGATGTGACTAAGTGCACACTCTCTCACACACAGAGTCAGACGTGACTGACTAAGGGCACACTCTCACACACACACAGAGTCGGACATGACTGAGTGACTCAGTGCACACTCACACACACACAGAGTCGGACATGACTGAGTGACTAAGTGCACACTCTCACACACACAGAGTCGGACATGACTGAGTGACTCAGTGCACACTCTCACACACACACAGAGTCGGACATGACTGAGTGACTAAGGGCACACTCTCACACACACACAGAGTCGGACATGACTGAGTGACTGAGTGCACACTCTCACACACACACAGAGTCGGACATGACTGAGTGACTGAGTGCACACTCTCACACACACACAGAGTCGGACATGACTGAGTGACTAAGGGCACACTCTCACACACACACAGAATCGGACATGACTGAGTGACTAAGTGCACACTCTCACACACACAGAGTCGGACATGACTGACTCAGTGCACACTCACACACACACAGAGTCGGACATGACTGAGTGACTAAGGGCACACTCTCACACACACACAGAGTCGGACATGACTGAGTGACTGAGTGCACACTCTCACACACACAGAGTCGGACATGATTGAGTGACTGAGTGCACACTCACACACACACAGAGTCGGACATGACTGAGTGACTAAGGGCACACTCTCACACACACACAGAGTCGGACATGACTGAGTGACTAAGTGCACACTCTCACACACACACAGAGTCGGACATGACTGAGTGACTGAGTGCATACTCTCACACACACACAGAGTCGGACATGACTGAGTGACTAAGGGCACACTCACACACACACAGAGTCGGACATGACTGAGTGACTAAGGGCACACTCTCACACACACACACAGAGTCGGACATGACTGAGTGACTGAGTGCACACTCTCACACACACAGAGTCGGACATGTCTGAGTGACTAAGTGCACACTCTCACACACACAGAGTCGGATGTGACCAAGTGCACACTCTCTCTCACACACACAGAGTCGGACATGACTGAGTGACTGAGTGCACACTCTCACACACACAGACTCGGACATGACTGAGTGACTGAGTGCACACTCTCACACACACAGAGTCGGACATGACTGAGTGACTAAGTGCACACACTCACACACACAGAGTCGGATGTGACTAAGTGCACACTCTCTCACACACAGAGTCAGACGTGACTAAGGGCACACTCACACACACACAGAGTCGGACATGACTGAGTGACTCAGTGCACACTCACACACACACAGAGTCGGACATGACTGAGTGACTAAGGGCACACTCTCACACACACACAGAGTCGGACATGACTGAGTGACTCAGTGCACACACTCACACACACACAGAGTCGGACATGACTGAGTGACTCAGTGCACACTCTCACACACACACAGAGTCGGACATGACTGAGTGACTAAGGGCACACTCTCACACACACACAGAGTCGGACATGACTGAGTGACTGAGTGCACACTCTCACACACACAGAGTCGGACATGACTGAGTGACTGAGTGCACACTCTCACACACACAGAGTCGGACATGACTGAGTGACTAAGGGCACACTCTCACACACACAGAGTCGGATGTGACTAAGTGCACACTCACACACACACAGAGTCGGATGTGACCAAGTGCACACTCTCTCTCACACACACAGAGTCGGACATGACTGAGTGACTGAGTGCACACTCTCACACACACAGACTCGGACATGACTGAGTGACTGAGTGCACACTCTCACACACACAGAGTCGGACATGACTGAGTGACTAAGTGCACACACTCACACACACAGAGTCGGATGTGACTAAGTGCACACTCTCTCACACACAGAGTCAGACGTGACTAAGGGCACACTCACACACACACAGAGTCGGACATGACTGAGTGACTCAGTGCACACTCACACACACACAGAGTCGGACATGACTGAGTGACTAAGGGCACACTCTCACACACACACAGAGTCGGACATGACTGAGTGACTCAGTGCACACACTCACACACACACAGAGTCGGACATGACTGAGTGACTCAGTGCACACTCTCACACACACACAGAGTCGGACATGACTGAGTGACTAAGGGCACACTCTCACACACACACAGAGTCGGACATGACTGAGTGACTGAGTGCACACTCTCACACACACAGAGTCGGACATGACTGAGTGACTGAGTGCACACTCTCACACACACAGAGTCGAACATGACTGAGTGACTAAGGGCACACTCTCACACACACAGAGTCGGATGTGACTAAGTGCACACTCACACACACAGAGTCGGATGTGACTAAGTGCACACTCTCTCACACACAGAGTCAGACGTGACTGACTAAGGGCACACTCTCACACACACACAGAGTCGGACATGACTGAGTGCATGAGTGCACACTCTCACACACACAGAGTCGGACATGTCTGAGTGACTAAGTGCACACTCTCACACACACAGAATCGGACATGACTGAGTGACTAAGTGCACACTCTCACACACACACAGAGTCGGATGTGACTAAGTGCACACTCTCTCACACATAGAGTCAGACGTGACTAAGGGCACACTCTCACACACACACAGAGTCGGACATGACTGAGTGACTAAGGGCACACTCTCACACACACAGAGTCGGATGTGACTAAGTGCACACTCACACACACAGAGTCGGATGTGACTAAGTGCACACTCTCTCACACATAGAGTCAGACGTGACTAAGGGCACACTCTCACACACACAGAGTCGGACATGACTGAGTGACTAAGGGCACACTCTCACACACACAGAGTCGGATGTGACTAAGTGCACACTCACACACACAGAGTCGGATGTGACTAAGTGCACACTCTCTCACACACAGAGTCAGACGTGACTGACTAAGGGCACACTCTCACACACAGACAGAGTCGGACATGACTGAGTGCATGAGTGCACACTCTCACACACACAGAGTCGGACATGTCTGAGTGACTAAGTGCACACTCTCACACACACAGAATCGGACATGACTGAGTGACTAAGTGCACACTCTCACACACACACAGAGTCGGATGTGACTAAGTGCACACTCTCTCACACATAGAGTCAGACGTGACTAAGGGCACACTCTCACACACACACAGAGTCGGACATGACTGAGTGACTCAGTGCACACTCACACACACACAGAGTCGGACATGACTGAGTGACTCAGTGCACACTCTCACACACACAGAGTCGGACATGACTGAGTGACTAAGGGCACACTCTTACACACACACAGAGTCGGACATGACTGAGTGACTGAGTGCACACTCACATACACACAGAGTCGGACATGACTGACTCAGTGCACACTCACACACACACAGAGTCGGACATGACTGAGTGACTAAGGGCACACTCTCACACACACACAGAGTCGGACATGACTGAGTGACTGAGTGCACACTCTCACACACACAGAGTCGGACATGACTGAGTGACTGAGTGCACACTCACACACACACAGAGTCGGACATGACTGAGTGACTAAGGGCACACTCACACACACACAGAGTCGGACATGACTGAGTGACTAAGTGCACACTCTCACACACACACAGAGTCGGACATGACTGAGTGACTGAGTGCACACTCTCACACACACACAGAGTCGGACATGACTGAGTGACTAAGGGCACACTCACACACACACAGAGTCGCACATGACTGAGTGACTAAGGGCACACTCTCACACACACACACAGAGTCGGACATGACTGAGTGCACACTCTCACACACACAGAGTCGGATGTGACTAAGTGCACACTCTCTCACACACAGAGTCAGACGTGACTGACTAAGGGCACACTCTCACACACACACAGAGTCGGACATGACTGAGTGACTGAGTGCACACTCTCACACACACAGAGTCGGACATGACTGAGTGACTAAGTGCACACTCTCACACACACACAGAGTCGGATGTGACTAAGTGCACACTCTCTCACACACAGAGTCAGACGTGACTGACTAAGGGCACACTCTCACACACACACAGAGTCGGACATGACTGAGTGACTCAGTGCACACTCACACACACACAGAGTCGGACATGACTGAGTGACTCAGTGCACACTCTCACACACACAGAGTCGGACATGACTGACTCAGTGCACACTCTCACACACACACAGAGTCGGACATGACTGAGTGACTAAGGGCACACTCTCACACACACACAGAGTCGGACATGACTGAGTGACTGAGTGCACACTCTCACACACACAGAGTCGGACATGACTGACTCAGTGCACACTCACACACACACAGAGTCGGACATGACTGAGTGACTAAGGGCACACTCTCACACACACACAGAGTCGGACATGACTGAGTGACTGAGTGCACACTCTCACACACACAGAGTCGGACATGACTGAGTGACTGAGTGCACACTCTCACACACACACAGAGTCGGACATGACTGAGTGACTAAGGGCACACTCACACACACACACAGAGTCGGACATGACTGAGTGACTAAGTGCACACTCTGACACACACACAGAGTCGGACATGACTGAGTGACTCAGTGCACACTCTCACACACACACAGAGTCGGACATGACTGAGTGACTAAGGGCACACTCACACACACACAGAGTCAGACATGACTGAGTGACTAAGGGCACACTCTCACACACACACACAGAGTCGGATGTGACTAAGTGCACACTCTCTCACACACAGAGTCAGACGTGACTAAGGGCACACTCTCACACACACACAGAGTTGGACATGACTGAGTGACTCAGTGCACACTCTCACACACACACAGAGTCGGACATGACTGAGTGACTAAGGGCACACTCTCACACACACACAGAGTCGGACATGACTGAGTGACTCAGTGCACACTCTCACACACACACAGAGTCGGACATGACTGAGTGACTCAGTGCACACTCTCACACACACACAGAGTCGGACATGACTGAGTGACTCAGTGCACACTCTCACACACACACAGAGTCGGACATGACTGAGTGACTAAGGGCACACTCTCACACACACACAGAGTCGGACATGACTGAGTGACTGAGTGCACACTCTCACACACACAGAGTCGGACATGACTGAGTGACTGAGTGCACACTCTCACACACACAGAGTCGGACATGACTGAGTGACTAAGGGCACACTCTCACACACACAGAGTCGGACATGACTGAGTGACTAAGTGCACACTCTCACACACACAGAGTCGGATGTGACTAAGTGCACACTCTCACACACACAGAGTCAGACGTGACTGAGTGCACACTCTCACACACAGAGTCGGACATGACTGAGTGCACACTCTCACACACACACAGAGTCAGACATGTCTGAGTGACTAAGTGCACACTCACACACACACAGTCGGATGTGACTAAGTGCACACTCTCTCACACACAGAGTCAGACGTGACTAAGGGCACACTCTCACACACACACAGAGTCGGACATGACTGAGTGACTAAGTGCACACTCTCACACACACACAGAGTCGGACATGACTGAGTGACTAAGTGCACACTCTCACACACACAGAGTCGGATGTGACTAAGTGCACACTCACACACACAGAGTCAGACGTGACTGAGTGACTAAGTGCACACTCTCACACACACACACAGTCAGACACGTCTGAGTGACTAAGTGCACACTCTCTCTCACACACACACATCAACCCCTAAAACATCTCATTAAGGTAGGCAAGTGAAAGTACCCTTCAGCATAAGCAAACACTAAAATAACACAACTCCTCTAAGTGGTAAAATATCCTGAACTTTGACCCTGAGGAACTCTAAGAACCTCGTAAGCACCATAATTAGGAACAGCTCAGTTCCTTTGGAAACATAAATACTGACAGAGAGGAGGGCGAAACACCCAGAGCTATGTGAGGGGTCGGACGCAGAGGGCTTTCTAAGAGAAAAAGTCCTACAGTTTGGGAGGTGGACAAGGCAGAGCGTGTCAAATGCAGGCTCTGGACATGAGAATTTTCCTTAAGAAAAAGATGAACAGCATTTAAGCACAGAATTCAGGGACTAGCACAGCACCAGTCTCTAATTCAGTCTCACGGGGCGGGGGAGGGGCTTCAATGGGAACCAATTAGCAATTACATCCTTTAAACAAAAGAAAAACAGATTCACTCTATGGCCAATTCTCTAGAATAAATCTATTCAAGATATTTACATGCACCCATGTATGCAAACCCCACTCCTGTACTCTTATTCCAATACTGAAGATAACACTATTCAAGGCCGATAAAATAAAAAGAACTTGGGCAGTGTCGGACTTAAAGTTCATTAAACACAAAATTGACATGAATTTAGTAGGAAGTATATGAAACACCACTCATAAAGAATTTTATAAATTCAAAGCTGTAACTGTAATCATTCTCACATCAGCCAAATTCTGACACATTCTTACATAACATGATTGAAAATATTATTAAAATATCTAGGTTTGTATACTTTCAAGACTAAAGGCAAATTCTCTACCTGACAAATTACACAGCAGCTGTACCAAATTTAAGCACTGAAATGAGGTGCCTGTCACATTGAGAGGCCACATACTCCTATGCACTGTGGTCGTTCAGAAAAGTTTGGATTATTACCTTTGAAATCATGTTAAAAGTGAGTTTCAATTTAGTGTGTGGAGATTATGAAAGTCTAATTTGCTCCAATATATGCTTTGGGCCTTCAGGGAAAAGTTAACTACGATATTTGTGGAAACCAAAGTAAATATGATACACAGCAGTAGTGAATCTGTACACAAGGTGAGGAGGTGAGCTTGTGCACAAGTGAGTTTAGAGGAGTGAGCCGGCTGTACGGAAACCCCACTGTGGCCGTGCCAGTTGCCACCACTTCAGGGCTCCAGGCAGGATACGTGGGGCTTCCCCGGGAGCACAGTGGTAAAGAACCTGCCAAAGCAGGAGACACAGGTTCAATCCCTGGGGCGGGAAGACCCCTGGAGAAGGAAACGGCCACCCACTCCAGTGTTCTTGCCTCGAGAATCCCATGGACAGAACCTCCTGGTGGGCTGCAGCCCACGGGGTCGCCAGGAGCCGGACAGGACCAAACGACTCTCCCAGCTGTGGTCGTTCGGCAGAGCTGCTGGCTTTACAGGTCGTTTCTATTGTGCAGCAAAGTGATCACCTGTTGTACACACGTATCCCCTCTTTTTTGGGTTTCCTCCCCATGAAGGTCACCAAAGAGCGCTGAGCAGAGCTCCCTGTGCTGTACAAGAGGTTCTCATTCGTTACCTGTTTTATATAAAAAGTTCTTACACTCAGGTTTAGACAGAATCATCCAGATAATTTTCACGCAGACCCTAGAGCGCTCCAGGAACTGGCTTCTTACCTTGAGACATCCATGTAGGACAGATAATTCGGAACTGGGCAAACATCAAGCTGGACAAGTTCTAGGAAGCAGGAAAAAAACACAACCAAACACATCACCATTCAAGTGACACAGAGACTCTTTTTATGTGTAGAATCGTTCCTGTGTTTTATTCTCCATTGTTTGTTTAGGTTGGGAAGCACAATATATCCATTTGTTTAAGTCTAAACTACAGGGAAGTACAGAGACCTTCTAATTTAGTCACAAGGTCTTAGTCAAAGACTGAAATAAATCACTCACTCTGCTTTCCTGCCTCTTCCCATCCACTTGCTGCTGCACTCCTCTTGTTATGCAGCCTAAATTTTAACTGGAAGATTACGAATATCACTGTTTTTAAACACTCAGGGTTCCTGGCATGTAATCAAATGTGTCCTGGCTTGAGCCTTTTTCACTCTGTGCCATTCACTGGAATAGCCCTCCTGAGGATCAGAAAGGACTACTCAAATCTGGAAGCCTTCCTCAAAACTGTGTGCAAAGTGACACCAAGGGCTCTGCTTCTCAGATGCAGTAGTCTCGAGAGACCCTTCTGCTTTTCTCTGAACACTTACGAAGTGTTTCAGAGGCTCAGCTCCTCTCGGCTTCCTCATCTGGCCCCAGAAACTGTGATGGTTTGGGAAGTCTACTTCTGGTACTGGGTCTCCTCTCTGCTCTAGTTATCTTACTTCCACGGTTTCAGATACCACCTCTGAGCAGACGTCCTACATCGGCATCTGTAGTCCCGACTGCAAATTCCTACTAACTCACATGAAACCACTGCAATAACCTGGATTAGTGGAAAGGTGGATTATCTCACTCTTCTCCCACATGGGCACTCTGGACCCTGCTTCCACGTTAATAGTCTTACAGCTTCATTTTCATCACTTGCCTCTTCCACTAAAAATTTCCACTGGATCTCTACAGCTTACTGTACCAGCTGCAAAGTTTCACCATCTGACTCCAAGCTATGTGTCCCATAAGTACATGTTACCACTTCCCAGCAGGTACCTATGAGAGCAGAATTCCCTTTTGCTCATCTACCAAATGAACCACATTCATATTCTTTCCTCTTCAACACCTATTTCATGTCTCTCAACTAGCCAAATCCTATAACACTTTGGTGACCTGCAGTTATCTGAGGTTTATTTCTCCATTGAGATGACAGTAAATTCATTAAAACCAAAAAAAGAAAAAGGAAAAGGAAAGAAAGAATCCCATCCTTTAGCACTCCTGCGCTACATGACACAGAACACAAGTGCCTGACAGACATGTGTTCAGTGCAGCGGTAAACACTCATTTCCATTCCGCTGTCTGACAGGAAGGGGCAGAAACCTTCATTCATTCACCAAACATGTGCCCATATAGCCTTTTCTTTTTCAGAACTGCCAGGATCTCCAAAGTCTAAGGAGGCAATCTTATTAAATGAATAAGGCTCTTGCTTTGTGATGGCCCTGTGGTATATAATGGAGGTTTCTCTTACGCTGAGGTCCTCTGTTGGTGGAGCAGGAAATCTGAGACCTTGTATGGAATCCATAATAGACGTAGCTTCCACTTGCACTCTGCAGATTCACTATCTTCACAAGGTGGCCCAATAAACAGTTCACTTCCCACTGCCCCCCACCCCCACCCCCCACACCCCGTCTGTTCTGCAACCTGAAGAGCCAATCACCAGTGGGAATAACTTATTTAAATGTCACAATACGAGAAAAACAAGTCAGGAACTATAAATAAGTCCTTCCTTTTTGATTGCTTTAAATACCAAACAGCATTCTTCTGTCACGATTTTTATCTTAGCAAAAATTGACAGCTATTTTACTAGATGAGGAAAGAAAAGTCGCAGCCAGGAGGGAGCTGACAGCGCTGAGTGGATTCCCAGGGCCACGTGAGGAACCCCAGGCGGTCTTGTCACATACCGTTGGAAGAGGCATAGAGCGCTTTGAGGACGCAGCCACAGATGCTTAACGTCACCAGCTGATTCCTTTCACAGTGTAAAACTTCAAGGTTGTTGAAAACCATAGCATCCAGACCCCCAAGTTTGTTGTCTCGCAGATCGAGCTGAGTGACATGAGGGAGAAAGTCCACTTCATCTGCTATTAGCTTCCTAATTAGGTTCAGTCTTGAGAGGAAAAGGACATAAACAGAGACTACAATCAAAGGCAATGCTGTAAATACAAACCATCGCCTAGTGTGTGACCAACAAGAAGGACTCGAGTGTCGCTGTAGCACAGTCCCCCATGACTTCCCGGCTCTCAGGATCTGGTCTTCCTTCACTAGCTAGGTTCCCTAGCTATTTCTAGCTACAATTCCATGAGGTCTTAACTTTGAAACTATATTCTGAAATGCAATTTAGACCATTAATATACTGGAAGAGAAGCATGCATATTGATTTTTACCTTAATTCATTTCAAGGGGGGGAAATCATTTAAACATTTATTTCCAAGAATCTGGTTGAAAGAATACAAGAAACAGAATCCAGAAAACCCAGCTAAGCACATGCAGCGACACTGAGTATTTAAGGAAGGAGAGAGGGTAAGCAAGCAGGTAGATGAGCAGCCATAAAAGACAAAACTAACAGGCGAGCTTGAGAAAAAAAAAATAATGAACGGAGACCACCTATGCACAAGAAACAGGCGTGTAAGCCCACCTGAATTTTCATAGCTGGTTTCAGACCAAGGATTAATTACCAAAACTATCTCCATCTTTAAAATACTGCTTGAAAAAGCAAAGCACAGGAAATACTGATGTTTGGCATGTAGGATTCATTGCGAACTCACAGAACAATGGATCGTGATGGGGCCCAATGAGTTCAGGACGCAGGGAAAACCTGGCAGAGCCTCGGTCATGAACACTGGTTAGCTCACGGACCAACGCTGCCATGGACGAGGTGCCAGGAAGACAAGCAAGCAGTAAGGGGACTAGGAGTCAACACAGAAACACATCGAGTGTGGAGAGAAACATGGAACTCCCCAGTCCTAGTCTGCTAGGCTGCACCCAGCCCCTGTACAAACAAACAGCAGCGCCTCCCACGTCCCGTCACAGAGCCGACAGAGCGCTGAGACAGCGCGCTTGGTTACAGGAGCGTTCACGTGAGAGGGGGAACGTGGAAAAAAGCCAAGTGTGCTCTGCAGTGGTTTCCAGCCCTTGGAAAAAATGAGAGTAGCTAAATTTTTAGAATTTAAAAAATAAATCTAAAAAAATAAAATGAGAGAACTGAACTAAATTTCTAATAGCAGTATCATAAAGCCATTGGAACACAAGGATGAGGGACAAGACAGCCAAGAGCTAGGATTTGTCAAACTGCAAGAACAGCATGTGGCTTCTTCACATGTCCCCGAGATTTAAAATTATTTTTTTTGCTCCTTCTCTTTTCTGTTCCAGGTTGTAAGAGTAAAAAACTGGCCTCAACTCAGCGATCTGCCTATCTCGAAATGCTCACTAGATTACTAGAATATGTACACATAATCACTTTAGTTCAGTCGCTCAGTCATGTCTGACTCTGAGACCCCATGGACTGCAACACGCCAGGCCTCCCTGTCCATCACCAACTCCCGGAGTTTACTCAAACTCATGTCCATCGAGCCGGTGATGCCATCCAACCATCTCATCCTCTGTCATCCCCTTCTCCACCTGCCTTCAATCTTTCCCAGCATCAGGGTCCTTTCCAATAAGTCAGTGCTCCGCATCAAAACCCTCATCTCCTTTTGGATATAAGAGCCTATAGGAACTGAAAACTGTCCCGTGTTCTCCCGAGTCTACACTTTAAATCACCTTCATGTGGCACTATCATCTCAGTCCACCCCAGCCCAGCACTGTATTAACATGGACATAATTATAGGGCTGATTTAATGAGACAAAAGAAAATTTATAATGACAGGGAGGTTATTGCCACTATTCACTTTAAATTGTCAAGTCTTATCAGGATGCAAATATCAAAAGGTTTCAGTCTCACATAATAATACGACTACTTCAGATAACTTTTAAAAAGGCAAAATGTTTGTGAAAATTTCTTTCCAATAACCTCAGTTAACAGAAGCATTTTATTTATTTCATCAATACTCATCGAGCATTTATTGTGTGTAGGTCGGCAGTGTGAAAATGTTCTAGTTCCAGTCTGCTGCTCAACACTTTACATATATGTCCTTGAGCCATCACCTAAGCCTCCAGGAAGTCTCATTCTAACCTGGAAACTGGGGCTGACACCTTCCTTGTCCTACACGGCCGCTGAGAAACGAGGGGGATGCATGTGCCAGTGCTTTGCAAACGAGAGGAGGTCACGGAGACGAGACAAGGACAACCCTAGGCTTTGTGTAAGGGATGAATAAAATAAGGGGTGTGCCAACAGATTAAGTAATTCAAGCCACATAGGCTTTAAAATATGAAGCCAAAGGATACAAGTCTGTGATCAGTGTCATGGTGGTGGTTTAGTTGATAAGTCATGTCCAACTCTTTTGTGACCTCATGGACTGTAGCCCACCAGGCTCTTCTGTCCGTGGGATTTCCCAGGCAGGAATACTGGAGTGGGTTGTCATTTCCTTCTCCAGGGGATCTTCCCCAACCAGGGATCAAACCCGTGTCTCCTGCATTGGCAAGCAGATTCTTTACCGATGGAGCTACCAGGGAAGCCCGATCAATGTCATAAATGATGTATAAGACATACAGAATGGTCAAAAAGAGATGCTATGGGAGAGGAAGCATCTCATCTGAACCCCAAGAGCAGGCAGAATTCACTGGACGTAAATGGGAGAAGAAAGCAGTCCATGAGGAAGAGCTGAACGGCCTTGGACTTTCCGGCCGAGCCTCACATGTGGGTGCAGGGGCCCCTCAGGAGTGCACACTACGTGAGAGGAGTGAGCACAGGCACCCAGAGGTGGGTGAGTCCGCTAACATTCATCAAGCGCGGGGCCTACTGCGTGCTGGTTCAAGGACACATGCTTCCCTGGTGGCTGAGATGCTAAAGAATCTGCCTGCAATGCAGGAGACCCAGGTTTGATTCCTGGGTCTGGAAGATGCTCTGGAGAAGGACATGGCAACCTTCTCCAGTATTCCTGCCTGGAGAATTCCATGGACAGAGGAGACTGGTGGGCTACAGTCCATGGGGTGGCAAAGAGTTGGACACGGCTGAGCGACTAACCCGTTTTCACTACAGAGACTAAGGATGTATAAACGAGAGCAGTGCTTCTCAAGTTATCTAGGAGGAAGGACCTATTTTCCAAACTTCTAATCCCTCACAGACGGACGTGCATACACCAGGACATAGCTCCCTGCACAGGTGGCTCACCACTTCGAGCTTGCCAACACCTAACCTCATCTGTTCCCTTTACAATGAGATGCGTCTGCTTACACGGGTCTAGGGGAATACTGTGGCAGTGCTCGATGTTTCTAGGATATTAAGTCTCAATCACTATACATATCTCTTTGTTAAAAAAAGTTGCAAATAGTTGGTCTGCTAGCACATGCTGGAGGACCACAGTCTGGACAGAACCATACTTAGAACCTCATCTTCAAGGGATTCACAGGCTAGAGGCTTGAAACTAGAGATGAGAGCTTAAGTATCTTGAATTAGGGAACTGAAGGTTCTGAGTGAGGCTGTGCTTGAGAGGCTGTACAGTGGCAGCAGACAGCGCAGAGAGGAGGCAAGAGCAGCAGTGAGAAGAAAAATAAAGGCCAGAGAGTGAGACTGGTGCCCAAGACGAACTGACAGCATCTGGGTGGCCCACTAGAAAACAGAGTCACAAATTTTGTGTCTGGTGACCAGTGAAGCTGGAAAACTCAGCAGGGGCCACAGGACTGGAAAAGGTCAGTTTTCATTCCAATCCCAAAGAAAGGCAACGCGAAAGAAGGCTCAGACTACCACACAACTGCACTCATCTCAGACACTAGCAAAATAACGACCAAAATTCTCCAAGCCACGCTTCAACAGTACGTGAATGGAGAACTCCCGGATTTAGAAAAGGCAGAGGAACCAAAGATCAAATTGCTAACATCTGCCGGATTATAGAAAAAGCAAGAGAATTCCAGAAAAACATCTACTTCTGCTTCATTGACTATGCTAAAGACTTTGACTCTGTGGATCACAACAAACTGGAAAATTCAAGAGATGGGAATACCAGACAACCTGACCTGCCTCTCGAGAAATCTGTATGGAGGTCAGGAAGCAACAGTTAGAACTGACATGGAACCACAGACTGGTTCCAATTTGGGAAAGGAGTACGTCAAGGCTCTGTATTGTCACCCTGCTTATTTAACTTATGTGCAGAGTACATCATGTGAAAATGCCAGGCTGGATGAAGCGAAAGCTGGAATCAAGATTGCTGGGAGAAATATCAGTAACTTCAGGTATGTACACAACACCACCCTTATGGCAGAAAGCAAAGACGAACTAAAGAGCCTCTTGATGAAAGTGAAAGTTCAGTTCAGTTGCTCAGTCGTGTCTGACTCTTTGCAACTCTGTGGACTGCAGCATGCCAGGATTCCCTGTCCATGACCAACTCCCAGAGTTTACCCAAACTCATGTTCACTGAGTCGGTCATGCCACCTAACCATTTCATCCTCTGTCATCCCCTTCTCCTCCTGCCTTCAATCTTTCTCAACATCAGGGTCTTTTCCAATGAGTCAGCTCTTCGCATGAGGTGGCCAAAGTACTGGAGTTTCAGCTTTAGCATCAGTCCTTCCAATGAACACCCAGGACTGATTTCCTTCAGGATGGACTGGTTGGATCTCCTTGCAGTCCAAGGGACTCTCAAGAGTCTTCTCCAACACCACAGTTCAAACGCATCAATTCTTCGGCGCTCAGCTTTCTTCACAGTCCAACTCTCACATCCATACATGACCATTGGAAAAACCATAGCTTTAACTAGACGGACCTTTGTTGACAAATCAGTGAAAGTAAAAGAGAAGAGTGAAGAAGCTGGCTTAGAACTCAACATTCAAAAAACGAAGATCATGGCATCCAGTCCCACTACCTCAAGGCAAATAGATGGGGAAACAATGGAAACAATGAGAGACTTTACTTTCTTGGGATCTAGAATCACTGCAGATGGTGACCGCAGCCATGAAATTAAAAGACATTTGCTCCTTGGAAGAAAAACTATGACAAACCTAGACAGCATATTAAAAAGCAGATATTACTTTGCCAACAAAGGTCTGTCTGGTCAAAGCTATGGTTTTTCCAGTGGTTGTGTATGGATGTGAGCAATGGACCATAAAGAAAGCTAAGCACCAAAGAATTGATAATTTTGAACTGTGGTGTTGGAGAAGACTCTTGAGAGTCTCTTAGACTGCAAGATCAGACCAGTCCATCCTAAAGGAAATCAATCCTGAATATCCACTGGAAGGACAGATGCTGAAGCTGAAACTCTAATACTCTGGCCATCTGATGTGAAGAACTGACTCATTAGAAAAGATCCTGATGCTGGGAAAGATTGAGGCAGAAGGAGAAGGGGACAACAGAGGATGAGATGGTTGGATGGCATCACCGACTCAATGGACATGAGTTTGAGCAAGCTCTGGGAGATGGTGATGGACAAGGAAGCCTGGTGTGCTGCAGTCCACGGGGGTCACAAAGAGTCAGACATGACTGAGTGAATGAATTGAACCAATAAAGTGGTGCTGCTATCAGCAAAAATAGGAATCCATGGGAAAGAACTTGCTGAATAAAGAAAGAAAGTAGTCATTTATAGTGATGTGGATGAACCTAGAATTTGTCATTCAGAATGAAGTCAGAAAAACAAATATTGTATATTAGCACATATATATGGAATCTAGAAAAACGGTACTAAGGAATCTATTTGCAGGGCAGGAACAGAGACACAGATGTATAGACAGACTTGTGGACACAGAGATGGGAAGGAGAAGGTGGGATAAATTGAGAGCAGCACTGATACAGCACGGCCGCGTGTAAACTGCGTAGCCAGTAACCGCTATGCATAGCTGGGGACCGCTGTGTGGCCGAGGGAGCGCACCTCAGTGCTCTGTGATGGCCGAGGGGTGGGGTGGGGGCAGGCCGGTAGGAAGGAGGCTTAAGAGGGAAGGAACACGCGTAGACACACAGCCGATTCGCAGCAGAAACTAATACAACACTGTAAAGCAGTCACACTCCAATTTAAAAACACATTAAAAAAAAGAAACTAAACTGTTTCACATGCAATTTGGTTAAGTGTGTCAAAAGAAGAAAGTGAAATTATCCTGCTGGCAGCTGAAGCGGAATTGATCCTAAGACGAGAAACAAGGGTTGGAGCAAGACAAAGAGTATTTACCACGGAGACAAGAGGTAACGATGGGGCCCCGTGAGCACAGGCAGAGAACAGAGAGAGGAGTGATCAAGGAGAGAAACGTAACATCCAGAGTTTGGAGAAGAGGCAAAAATATTAACCACACCATAGAAAAAACAGTATCAATCTTAAATACGCCAATGTGAGAAAAAGAGTAAGATTAAAAGAAAAATGATTACTTTTAATTTGACGTACTATTTCCATCTGAAGGAACAGAAATTCAATCAATACAATTAGCCCTCGGTTCACAGAAACTAAGTGAGACTCCTCTTAAATCATCCCACTAGCTTCAGTATAAAACATTAAGGCAGAATCGCAAGCAGATCTGACCAGACCTTCTCAACTCTGTACTCTGGAGGGAAGCAGTTACTCATGGTCATTCAGCATTTACAGTGTATAAACGTCTATTCTGGTTTCTAAATATCCTGTAACTGACCTCATCTAAAAATACCCAATTTGAACTAGAAATCTGAAGAATTTACAAAGCTCTTAATAAGAACAGTTGCTTCCAAACATATTAGATTGATCTTGTTTGGAAGCTAATTCATATCAAGGAAAATGATGTCTTCTTATCTAACATGAAGTAACTTATAAATCCTCTCTGATGCTTGTTACCAGAGATCAATATGACCATCTCTGGGTGACTGAATTTAAAAAGAGCCCAAACTTTTGAATATGAAGGTTTTCTAAACCCAGTTGTATGTGTGCTGTGGGTGCTCGGTCACAGCAGTCACGTCTGACTCTCTGTGACCCCGTGGACTGCAGCCCGCCAGGCTCCCCTGTCCATGGCATTTCCTAGGGAAGAATATTGGAGTGGGTTGCCATTTCTTCCTCCAGGGGATCTTTCCAACCCAGGGATGCAACCCACATCTCCTGCCTCTCCTGCACTGAAGGCAGATTCTTTTGCCACTGAGCCACCACTCAGAGGCAAATAAGGTTAACAAATTCAGAAAGAAAGTTAATAAGACAATGTGTTCAGCTCCCTATCCTGTCACCCTTCAAAAAGTTCTCAAAGTCAGAAAAATTTTTACCATTTGGTCTCCCTGAACTAAGAACTGTACGTCTACAAATTGCTAACATGTCCCCGAGTGTGACAGCCTTTATTCTTTCAGTCTAAGGAAAGGTAAAGCAAACCACATCTTTGTGGGACTGGAATGCATGGGTTCCCTGAGTCAAACTGGAAGGATGGAGATGAAAGTGGAGCAAAAGGCGAGGCTGCTACTTTGTACTGATGAACTCTGACGGGCGTGAGGGAGGGTCTGGTGTCATCACCCCGGAGGAAAGTGGGCAGAAAAACAAGGAAAGAAAATCCAAAGAGGGGAAAAGATGCCGAGAATGACAGCAGGGAAGGGTTCATGAGAAGAAGAGTTCTCACCAGGTAATGAGAACAGCATGGAACATTTGCTGAGAGAGTGAGGCATTTACTCTCTTCCTTCCCAAACTCTGTGAATTATGTTGCTATTAACTGTAATCTAGAGATGAGAATACAGCTGCACAGAAATATTAAATATCTCACCTAACATTTAATGTGGTCACCACTCCCTGGCTAATGGGGAAGTTTGCTATTGTTCAGTCACTAAGTTGTATCCAACTCTCTGTAACCCCATGGACTGCAGTGCGCCAGGCTTTCCTGTCATTTACCATCTCCCGGAGTTTGCTCAAATTCTTGTCCATTGAGTCGGTGATGCCATCTGACCATCTCATCCTCTGTCATCCCCTTCTCCTCCTGCCCTCAATCTTTCCCAGCGTCAGGGTCTTTCCCAATGAATCAGCTCTTCACATCAGGTGGCCAAAGTTATTGGAGCTTTAGCTCCAATGGGGAAGTTACTTTCATTGAAAAACATCAAATTGGGCAAGTTAATATTAAGCCCTAAACCCAATATGTTGCTTTGCAGGAACTCAAAGCCCATCCATATGTAAAGTATATGCAAAAATACATCTGTGATGTAAGCGAGGATGTGTGGGTGTTTTCACTTGGAGTTTAGTGTGATCAGAACTCAAAATGCAGGTTCCCTGCTCCTGCAAAGGGGCGAGAGTGGAGGCTTCGGCCAAACGCAGGCCGAACAAGAGATGACGTGGTTTACATTTTTATGAAGAACAGCAAAGTAAGGGAAAAGCCATCTGGATGGAGAGAGAGGAAATTAACATAAACTAAGTAAGTAACAAATTTAATGAATATATTATATTAAGGAAGCCAAGGAAGGGAAAAAAATTAAGAAAAGAAAAGAGAGGAGCTCAACGATGTCAACTGCCTCAAAGAAAGGGAGGGAGAAGGGAGAGCAAAATCCACGGGGCTCTCAGACACATGGTTTTCATTCACCACAGTTTTCTCTGACTTGATGGCCCTACTAATTAAAACTGGCCTCAAACCTGTAAAACCAACCTTCGAGATAGATGGTCACTCATCGATGCGGAAAAAAAAAATTTTTTTTAACAAGTTTCAGGGTTCCTCTAGGGGAAAACAGAAAAGTAGGTCCTAATTGCAACTAACCAGTTTGCTCGTCTAGACAGAAGAATACCACCAGAAGGGCTACAACCGACATCCCAGACACAAGCCAACCACTCAAACAGGATATATTACTTAAAAGTGGTTACCTTAGATCCACATGCTTAATGTGAGGCATTTTTCTTAAAGCCTGTAGCCGAAGCGTCTCCATGCAGTTTCCAGACATACAAAGCTTATCCACAGCTGTCAGCTTCTCCAGCACCTCTGGAAAGTCAGTGAATTCATTGAAAGAAAGACCAAGATAACTAAGCTGATGCATGTTCTCCAACTCAGCAGGAAGGGTCTGGAGAAAGTTTCCATCCAACAAAAATGTCTGTAAGCTATTAAAGAAAACGTAAGAGTTATCAAGAGAATGTATACATTTTACTTCTTTATTATTAACTTGCGAGTTCCACAAGTATAGATCCTCTTACCAGAAAAAGGAAATATATTGCACTGTTCTTTGCAAAATGCTAAGGGCAGGGCCTGAGGCGGTAATACACCAGAGAGAAAAGATCAGAGACAAGCATCTTAATCTTTTATTGAAAACAAAAATTATGACCAATTCTCTCAACCTGGATAGGCATAAATGGGAACACCACGAGCTGACTGCAATGTGAATCAGCCTAAATACTCATCTTTCATTGTTATTTAAAAAAATTAACTTCTAAGTCTGACTTTTAAATACATGAGAAGATTCTGTACTTCTCTCCTAAAAGAAATACAAATACTGAGATATCACTTTTCACCTATACATCCATCCTTCTCCCTGTATAAGTGGAAAACTATATCTCATAATATTTTCCTAGTATCAGTAATAGAGATTTTTAGATAGCAGAATTTGGGGAGCTTCTAAATCATTTATTGTTGTATTTGCTATAGTATTTTACAGTATTTATATTTCTGGTAAAGAGCCTGCCTGCAATGTAGGAGACCCAGGTTCAATCCCTGGGTTGGAGATCCCCTGGAAGAGGAAATGGCAACCCACTCCAGTATTCTTTCCTGGAGAATTCCATGGACAGAGAAGCCTGGTGGGCTACAGTCCATGGGGTTGCAAAGAGTTGGACATGACTGAGCAACTAACACTTTCACTTTCATAATGAGCATGTGTAAGATTTTAAGTAGTTTCAGTTAATAAAACTGGAAGCAAATTATTGGAAGCAATTAATATAAAAAAAAATTAACTTCAAAGTCTTAGAATTCAACATAACTTGAGAAACCAACCCCTCCTCCCACATTTAGACACATTCATCTGTAGGGATCACTGGTTCTAAACGAGGATATTTTAATTTTTTACAAGATTCTCAAAGTAGCTATGAAATGAACTCTACACAAGAGCATGATCTCTTGATTTGGGGCAGCGGCGTCTACGACCAGCACAGCAGGCTGACTAGCCTCCTGTGCGATGGCCCCAGCGCAGTGTCTGGGGTGGGGCCTCGGGGGCCCTGATGTGAGGTCTGGAGGACCTACTTGTGCATCGCTCCGACGGCTGCCGGGACGGCTCGAAGGGCGTTGCATGACACGTTGAGCTCGGCCAGCGTAGGAATACTGCAGACCGCTAGTGGGAAGTCCCCTAGATGGTTATTGGAAAGGTTAAGACTCTTCAACTTGGTGAACCTATCACAAAAACAAAAAAGAAAAGACAAATGTCACAGATGTGTAACAGCACATGACTTCAGCACAGCCTTAGAGATAATCTAGTCCGACTCTAATTCAGCGGAGCAGAATGAAGAGCCCTCACAGGGCACATGAACAGCAGAGCTGGGGGGGCGCATCTTCAGATTCTAAGGCTGGTGCTCCACCTAAAAGAGAACGATTCTATTTAAAAACAAGCGTCACTCTAAAACAAGGCTGAATATCTGAGGAGGTGAGTTCGATGGAGTTAGACTTTCAGCTTCACCTTGGCTAGCTTAATTAACACCTGTGTGAGTAACAGAGAGGAAGGAAAAGTTCTTTCGGATTTCTTTATAATCCCAGACAAGTCAAAAACCCAAACCTGAAATAATAAAAAACTTCTCAATCTATCAAAACCACACTCTCTCTGCGGTGCCCAGTTCTGCAGTTCCAAGCTGAAGAACCAGCTGCTATTCCTCCTCTCAGCCCCACACTCAATCCTGCGGGCCACACAGCCTTCCTGGAGGGGCTCTGCTCGCCCCACTCTAACCAGCCTTTCCTCACTGCTTCTTCCTGCTGCTGTTGAGTCACTCAGTGTCCAACTCTTTGGGACCCCATGGACTGTAGCCCACCAGGCTCCTCTGTCCATGGGATTCCCCAGGCAAGAGTACTGCGGTGGGTTGTTTCCTTCTCCAGGGGATCTTCCCTACTCAAGGATCAAAACCATGCCGCCTGCGTTGCAGGCGGATTCTTCACCACTGAGCCACCTGGCAAGTCCACAGCTCTCTGCAAACCTTCTCTCCTTTCCTCCTGTTCTCTTCCCCGTCTCCGTGTGCCTACCGCAGAGTCAGGTATCACAGATCTGGTCCACGTCAGTTCCTTCTCTCTCTTTACCCTGCTTTCCTTGGCGCTGTTACCCTGCTTTCCTTGGCGCTGTTTCCCTGCTCCGTGGACAATTCTCTCTAACCCGGCACAGCCCCTCTCCTCTTCCCTGACCTGCTGACAGCACCTCCAGTCCAAAACGGAACTTACCATCTTTATCCCAGACCAGCACTTCCTCCTGTTCTATTTTTGTTAATGGCTCTTTCATCTTCTCAGTTGTCCAAGCAATTAAAGCAATTCAAGAAGTCTTCTCTAAATTCTCATGATTGGCTCTTTGCCAACCTCTACACGTTTTTTATTGAGAAGCAAATCTGATTAGTTATTGCACTATGTCAATTTTTTAAAAAACTGGCCATGCCTAAAGTCCAGGCAAGGTGTACAATGCCTAAAACAGACACAGTATCTTAAAAATAAACTCAATTCAATCCAGTCAACATCTTAAAGAAACTCTCATGTGACTTCTTTACTGAATTCTAAATAAAAAATGTAAAGCTTTGCTCTAAATAGCTATATACATTTTATTTCAGATAGAAAACTGACAATGTACATATCTGACAGATTGACAGCAGTTTTCTTGGATGATGGAGCAACTTTAAAGTAAAAAACAAAGCTTAAGAATTACTGCTACACTTCAATGATAACTAAAAAATTTTTGTATTTTACCATTTGACTCATTACTCCTTCTTGAAAAAGAATGTTCATCCTCTGTTCTGACCATCTATGGTCTACGTGACACAAGCTGGAACCGCAGGGTCTGCTGCTCCCAGCCCGGGAGCTCTCAAAGCCAAGTCAGGGGACAAGGGAAGAGGCCCCTGCGGCCCTGGGGGCTCTCAAGGCCGCAAGCACGCGCAGAGCAACACTGAGGCGCCACTCGCTCCTTGTGACTATCCTTTCCTCCCAAATGTCCAGGGGAGGTTTCCAGACGGTATGCATCTTTGTGATAGCACACCTGTTTAGAAGCAGAAACAGACTTGAGAATCCAACTGTCTTCAACTAAGCCAGGAATTAAAAGATTTCCAACAGCATAAAACAATGACATTCTTCTATTTTTTTTGTTTTAGAAGGTAGTTATCTTTCATAAAAAATACATATGTTAACAAGAATGGCGTCTGTTTATTTTCTAAATTAATTACTATATATTAAAATATCTTTTCAGCTTAGATTTCTAATATTGTAAATACCAACAGCTTAATCCACAGAAATAAAAGCTGCTTAGGGTCCTCAATTTTTGACACAGTAAGAGAGTCCTGAAATAATGTTTCCAGATAAAATACAGGGCTCCAGTTAAATTTGTATTTCAGACAAACAACAGATATTTTTTAGTAAGTCTCAAATGTTGCATGAAACTTACTTTTGTTAAAAAAATACATATATTCTTTGTTTTTCTGAAATTCAAATTTAACTAGATGCTTTTGTTCCCTTCTAATTCTTGCAACTTCATCCTGAAATAGATAAAACTGCTGTTCTAGTCCAAACAAAAAGAGTACCCTACCTTCTAGATTTGTTCCCTCATTTGATAGAAGTGGCCACAGCTTTAAAATATGCATGCCATTAAACTAAACTGTTTTTTAAGAAGTTCCTCAATGAAGGAAAAAGATCCTAACATTAACCAATATAGTACAAAGACTTCAGAAAGTGGAGAATGGAAGGATTATAATTCCAGTAATTACTTACAATGGAAAATGGGATCACTGGCTTTTGGAAAAGTATTTGTCAATAATAGGGGAAAAGGTATATTCATCTATACAAACAAGTTTACTAGGACCACATCATTGCTGATAAGAAAGGAAATCAGTAGTGAGCTGAGTAAGTAAAGGGCAGTTGACAAACTTAAATGGAAGAGAAAAGATCAACAGTAGGCACGGGCCAAGAGTCCCTACGTAACCAGGAGTCCCGGCTCCCTCCCCCACAGCTGTGCTGTCCGCACAAGACCAGTAGGTTCAGGTGGTTCCCGAGCACCTGCAGCAGCACCCGTCAACCCGACATGTTTCTCTAATCATAAAATACACACTGGATTCCAAAGACTTAGTACATGTAAGTTCTATCAATTTTTCAGAAGCGATTATTTTGATTTTGTGGTTGTTTATTTGCTAAGTTATGTCTGACTCTCTGCGACCCCATGAACTGCAGCACACCAGGATTCCCTACCCTTCACCAGCTCCCAGAGTGTGCTCAAACTCACGTCCACTGAATCACCTCATCCTCTGTTGCCTCATTCACCTCCCATCCTCAATCTTTCCCAGCATCAGGGTCTTTTCCAATGAGTCAGCTCTTCGCATCAGGTGGTCAAAGTATTGGAGCTTCAGTATCAGCAACAGTCCTTCCAATGAACACTCAGGGCAGACTGGTTGGATCTCCTTGCAGTCCAAGGGACTCTCAAGAGTCTTCTCCAGCACCACAGTTTGAAAGCATCAATTCTTCGGCTCTCAGCTTTCTTTATGGTCCAACTCTCATATCCATATATGACTACTGGAAAAACCACAGCTTTGACTGTACGGGCCTTTGTCAGCAAAGTGATGTCTCTGCTTTTTAATATGCTTGTATAGGTTTGTCATAGGTTTTCCTTCAAGGAGCAAGTGTCTTTTAATTCTGTGACTGCAGTCACTGTCCACAGTGATTTTGGAGCCCAAGAAAATCTGTCATTGTTTTCACTTTGATATATTTAATTAAATCTTTTGATATATTGAATTAAATAAGTTATATCAGTAAAATTAATTTCACCTGTTTCTTTTTCTGTTTTCTAATGTGGCTACCAGAAAATTTGATTGTTCACACAGCTTGTATTAGATTTCCACTAGAGAAGCATTCTCTCCATACTAAAAAATAAGTAGGATCCTGGAATTTCTCACCCAAGTAACTCCAAACTTTGTTCAGTGCTCCTGCGGGCCTCTTCCCCAGGCCCACTCGCCCAGGACACTGGGCACCCACAGCCCTAGGAGCGGACAGAGCCTGGGCACGCGGGCTGAGGGGTCCTCATCCTTGCTAGACGGAGCCGGGGGCGGGAGAGGAGGAGACTCGGGCCACTGAGCCGGGCTCCCCGCGCCCCTACAGCCAACGCAGAACCGCTAGGGGAGCATGCGGACTGAGACTGCCCCCCGTCCAACGCGGGCCGCTAGGGGAGCGCGCGGACTGAGACTGCCCCCTGTCCAACGTGGGCCCTCTAGGGGAGTGCGTGGACGAGACTGCCCCCCGCCCAAGCGGGCCCGCTAGGGGAGCACGCCGACTGAGACTGCCCCCCGGCCGGCACCACAGGCAACGGCTGCATGAGTTCTTTTACGCCAGGAGGTCCTGCTAATGAACACGGAACTAATGAGCCACCACCAAACACCAACGGGAAGAGTTGGGGAAGGTCAAAAGGAGATGCCTCGGGCTCCCACCTCCCAGAGCCCCCTGCTCTGGCATCCACCTTGGCCCGGGCGGGCACTGCGTGGTCCAGGACGGACCGGAGTCAGAATGATTGGTCAGAAACAACCTGGAAGCTAATCCCATCAGGAGGAAACCCGAGACCGTGAGCCACGTGGCAGAGCAGCTCTCCTAGGCTCCCTGACCCCGCTGCTCTCCACCCTGGCGTCCTTCTCCAATGAAGTCTGTCGTTTTGTCAGCCCGTGTGTCTCCTCGGACAACTCAGCTCCGTGTCAGATAAGAGCCCACAGTCGGGCCCTGGAAGGGGTCCCCCTCCCTGCCACAGAATCCCAAGGGGTCTGGGGATTCTAAACTTGAATCCAAAGGTGATCATAAAAGTGTGTTCTGGAAGGCAGGAGGAGAGAATCTGTTTCAGTAACAGGTTTTAGTTTATTAGAACTCACACACTTAGCTATGTGGTCTAAGGCCTCCGTCTGCACGCCTGCCCTGGAACCTACACCTCCAGGGCTGATGCTGGTTGGAGCATCTGAAGCCCCTCTCACCGGGTCCACCTCCGCCAAGGCGGCCCTGCGCAGCCCACCCCCGACCGCTTCCGGAAACGAACATAGCATCAGCAGTTTTGTTTAGCCAACGAAGCATGATTGTTTCTGAGAACTCAAGTTCTTGATCAGAACACAGTAAAACTCAACTGTTTTGGAAACACTAACCCTTAGTCTTCTTAGAGGTCCACTTTTTCTTTGTCTATGGAAAGCTGTCAG